CCTCCCCCTCCTCCAGCCTTTCTGACCCCTTACTTACTGGCACTGGAGCCCTGGTGCTGGCATGCTTCAGCACCAGGGTGAGGTGAGGGCCAACCACAGAGATGCTCTGGCAGCCAGCCTCCGGTTGCCTCTGCTTGTCTAGGACTGTGGCCTGACCTGCTTTTCTTTAGCTCCATTTTTGTTTGACCCCTGGATATCCAGGGGTCTAATTTTGCCCACGTGCTGCAAACTTGCAATGGGGGGAACCTTTTCCTGTTCCTGCACATGCCTCTTATAGCATCTTAAAGGGGTTTGAGACACTGCACGAGGCATGTGTGGGCTCACCTGGTGTCCATAACTTTCATGTAGTTTTATGATGGATGCAATGAGAACTTGGTATATATATATTTTTTTGTCTTTATTTGAATGTTTTCAAATTGAGAATCTTTATTGGAGACCCTGAAGTTTACTTTGGAATGGAAGTTACTCATCTTTGTAGGCTGGGAAGTGGATCTAAGGAGTCAGAATGCTGATCATATGGTATTTTCAGAAAAATATTTGTGTTTTATGACATAATGCTGGCACATTTCCATTCTTCTTGTATTTTTAAAAGATTTTGGCAAAGCCCAGGAGCTTTAGGGAGAAGAGAAACAACATCTTTAGACATTTCTGTAAGGAGAACTGATATTTAGTGAGGAAAAATCATTCCAGTCTGAAATTTATGCATTTTTTCAGACTATATCATAATATAATTGGAAAATTACTAATAACTGCCCCTATATCAAAGGGAACTGTTTGTCTTGGTAAAAAAAAATGCATTTTTGTCACTTTCTCAAAGAAAAAATTTTGTATTTATTTATGTCCAGAAAAGAAGCGCTGTTAGCACCACTGTCCACCAGACAGTCCTTAGGGATTGTTGAAGCACAATTAACCCTTAAATAGAACGCGAAATACGAATGAAGACAATTTGGTGTCTTCAAATCCAAGTTTCACTTAAATGCAGATAACTCAGTGTTTGAACATCCAACAACTTTGACACCTCAGTGTCCTAAAATCAAAATGCAGATAACTCAGTGTCAGACAGTTGTCTTAAAATCAAAGTCTAACTTTATTAGTACAACAAGTATTATCTTATCAGTTTCTATATTCAGGGAGAGAAAAACATTCGGTACAGTAATCTCACCCAATCTCAGATGTTACTTTGCTCAACAGAAAAGACAGCCACTTAGTTCCTGGCAGCAAAGGGTACATTGTAGGCTGGGACAGTCCAGACAGGTGTTTGAAGGCTGGATTTATAACGATGATGACAAACTTTCTTGCCCCTCCCTTCAGCTTCAATCCTTTAACACTTCACTTTCAGATTGGTCTGTCTGCAGTACACATACTGTTCATCTTTTATCCCATCAGCATATTTCTTTGTCTAACAGACCCGTTAAAGGCACACCTCTTAATTTGGCCTTTTTCCAGTATCTTACTTTGGGCATTGTCCATTGGTCTCCCTTATCATCTTTCATTAATGGATCCAATTCTTTCATCCCTCTGATTCAGCTGGTTAGTGCCAAGTTCATTTAATTGGAGCTGGTTACAAGGCCATTGCTATGTTATGTTAAAAGAACTTCTCACAGTGATAAAAAAGAAAAGATATAATATAATGAGCACCTCTAAACTGTACAAAAACAACTCAGAGCCAGCTAATAATAACAAACAAAAAGTTAATAAGGACAAAACTTAAGTAATGATTAAATACAGATAAAATATAAACAAAACTATAAGCAGGTGCAACTTCAAAGCATTAAACATAACAAGCTACCCTAACAGCACCCTCCAGCATTGATTTCTGCTTGCAGCAGTAGCATTTCTAGTCATGCATCTGAGGGTGTCAGTTGATTTAGTGGCTCATTGTTCTTCATCCCACAGGTGTTAATGACCATCTGTTCTTTTTAATGGTCTTGGGGGTCTACCAATCAAGCTAACCTTTCTTTTGGCAAGTTTTCTGTCTACTACCTACTCTCAGTCTCTCTTCTCCTATTTCACAGTCCTATAGATTATTTTTAGTTCTTTTCAAAATCATAGATCCACCCATGGAGGCCTGTCTTCAGCCTCAATGAGGGTTACAGTTTTGTTTGTGCAGGAAATTGAGTGAGCTGAAGATTAAGTTCTGTGCTTGCTCTATGCAGCCATAATTCTGGAATAATCTTTTTTTCTTCATTCTGCCTGCCCAAAAACAAGGCTCATGCATTATTTGGGGCATGTTCTTTGTGACAAATTTTGTTATTTTATATTGCTTCCCCTTTAACCCAAGTGACTTGTCAAAATTCAGGATGTTTCAGGGGTCTTTCCAGTTGGATGAGGAGTCAGTAAGTAAAACCAGGTATATTTCTGAACATGAGTGTTTGCCACATTTGCTATTCTTCCTGCAAACATCAGACAGATTCTTTGCTCAGAAATCCTGAAGTGTGCTAGTCTCGTATACTCTGTGCCTAAGATGATCTATCTAGCTTCTTCCTTTCTGGGTCATACTTATAATCCTTGCTTTTACTTTCTGTTGCCAGTGCATACAATTAGCCACTCTTGTCCCAAGTCCCTATGTTAGCAACCAGAGGGCGCGTCTACACATGCAATTAATGTAAAGGAATAAACTCTGGTGTTTATTGTTCTGGAGCTTATGGCTCCCAAGTATGCTGTTTGAATGTGTGCCCAGGACTGCAGCATGTTGACCCAAGTTGGAGCAGCCACAGCTGGCGGGGGGACACTGGGGTCAGCCTGCTACTCTGAGGCTGTTCCTTCCCCCTGCTCAACGTGCTATAGAGGGCCTGGCTGGGGCACAAGGGTACTCCAGTGTGGGACTAGCTGGCAGGCAGATCTGGCACTGAAGTACCCTTAGGCCCCAGCCAGCAGAGCAGTATCTACATGTGCACTGCTGCTACTAGGGGTCCTTGTGTGGACTAGTGGAAGTTTCCAGATTACAGGCCCTGGTTCTCATGGGGAACTTCAATCACCCTGACATCTGCCTGAAGGGCAATACAGCAGTGTATAGGTAATCCAGAAAGTTTTTGGAGAGCACTGGAGACAACTTCTTGGTACAAGTTCTGGAGAGACCAGCTAGGGGCCACTTTCCTCTTGACCTACTGATGACAAACAGGGAAGAATTAGTGGGGGATGTAGAAGTGGCTGGCAACTTGGGCAGTAGTGATCATGAGATGATTCAGTTCAGGATCCTGACAAAATGAAGAAAGGAGAGCAGTAGAGTATGGACCCTGGACTTCAGAAAAGCAGACTTTGACTCAGGGAACTGATGGGCAGGTTTCCCTGGGAGGCCAGTTTGAGGGGGAAAGAAGTCCTGGAGACCTGGTTATATTTTAAAGAAATCTTACTGAGGGTGCAGGACCAAACCATCCTTATGTGCAGGAAGAATAGCAAATGTGGCAAGCAACCAGCTTTGCTTATCAGAGAACTCTTTAGTGAGCTTAAACACAAAAACAAAGCTTCCAAGA